CTGCCTCAGTCCTCACTGACTCCCTCAACTGGACGTGATCTCTTCCTTTCTGGAATCACACGTCACCTAAGTTGCATGGCTTTATTGCACAGACACCATGTAGTATAGTTTTGTTATACAGATACCTAGTATTCCAGTTCCTGACGAAGACTTGGATTCTTCATGTCATGTCATAGAGTTTTGTTCACAGTGGAAACAATGAATGACTAAAAGACCGGTGGCATGATATGAAGGAAGATACCGAGAGAGTTATGAATACTCATGTACATTGTTTATGGAAAGATAACTTGGGAGCAATGTCAGTGACCATTTTCTCAGCTGCAGGCCAACACGTACCGGTACTGTCCCATTTGGATTCTCAGGCAAAAGTTTTCATTATAAGAAGAGTAGACTTTTCACATTAAAAGCCTTGCATTTGCAGCTTCAACTACAAGAAACATGGTTAAATGAGAAAAGTCTTTGGTAGGAAGATGAATTTTCCCAGGGTGCACTGACAGATCTTCCTATCCAAAGGTGATCGTAGGGTTTATTACTGTTGGCAGTAGTCAGAATTGTTTTTGAGAAAACCCAGGTGCAATTTACAGCTTGAAGACTATGAGAATAACATTTCTGAGCCCCAAATGACTTTGGTACTCCCGGGATTTTAGTGCCTCTAAAATCAACCAGCATTCATAAACTGGGCACTGCTCTAAGCAAAGTGTTGTGGAGAAACACACCCTTTTCAGTTATTGTCTCTTCTCCATCATGGGACTTCATTGAAACAAGGCATAAATGTGCCATAAAATACTGTCAATATGAGAAAATATGTGATCGGCATTCTCTGAACAGTACAGATAATTAATACCCAACAAATGTAGAGAAGATGATGACCACTCACAGACATGGAGGAACATGCAGTGATCCTTCTTCATTCCCCCTTTCCCTCCTTCCATCTTTCCACCTTCTCTCCTCTTTCCTTCCTTCATTTGCTCGCTTCCCTTTCTCTCCTTTTATTGCTCTCCAAGTTGGATTAACAACCAATCATGCTAGAGGAGAAGTAAATACATTTAATATGCCATCTCCTCTCAGCTGAGTTTAATGGTCTGAATTCCTTTAGGGATAAAAAAAAAAACAACTTTTAAGGCAAGTGAAGACTCTCCTGCCAAGTTGTATAAATGCCAGGCGGCTGGCCGTGCAATCTTGGTGGTCGCAGTCCGTTCACGAGGGAAGTATAGTCTACTACAACTATTCTGGACAAGCCTGGGGTGGAGGGCGTTGCAGTATTTCTCATCAGAAATATTAAATGAGGAAAGGGATGAACTGACTAAGCAATATCTCCGGAGAGCTAGAGCTTTTGTGCATTTCAAAGTATTATGATGAGACAGTGTTTGTAGTTGGGGAGAACACGAACCGAGGAGTAAAATTGATGGCAGAGAATCTGCGAGACCACATAGGGTGCTGTTGGAGGACTGTCTAAAGACCCAAACATAAATCAAGACTTGAACTGTTTGAATACTTGTTAATCATATGGTACAATCATTAAAAACTACAAAGGGCACTTAGTAAGATGGAAACATGCTTGTGAAATACTAAACATTTAAGATGCTGAGATGTAAATTCAGTCGTACAAAATGCCCAAAGAGCAAATGACTGTGGGGGAAAGCAGCCCCTCACAACTATATCACAGATCCGATAGGTGCAATTGTATGGTTATGATATATAAAGATTATAGTAAAGTCATAGAGAATAAGAGAGGTAGAAGAGAGAGTAAAATAAAGAAGTCAGACACATTTCATGGTAGCATGCTCACCTCCTGAATGGCCATGATCTCACCAGCCAGGCCCGTGCACATTTTGGGCAGAGAGGGCAAGAGACTCTCTATTTCTGGCCAAGGCCCATGTATACTTAGGGCATGATTACAGGAGACCACACACATCAGGGAACCACACATGTCAGGGAACCACCCCCGTTACAGGGAACCACACACGTCACAGGAAGGGGCTGTACAAGAGGCACAAATATGACAGGAAGGGGATGAGCTAGGGGTGTACATGTAATAGGAAGGGGAGGGACTAGTATACATGTGCCAAGAAGGGTGGACCCTAGTCTCAGTATGGCAGCCTAACCTTGGTCATTCTTGAGTGGGCTTGTCCTCCCTGGGCTCTCCTTCAGGGAAACAATCTACTATGTTTATCAGAAGGGAGTGGGCCCTACTTAGGGTGGGACAGACTATACAGTTCCATTGCTCTTGATGGCTGGTGACCCCTAGAGAGAATAACCTCTGACCTGCTTTCGTTGACCTCCAAGTATATAGTCATTTACCATGTGTAGCAAGCAGCTAGGTTTGGCATATATTTGGGGGAGACAACTTGGGAGAGATCTTTCTGTATCTCACATATGGCAAAGACTGGGAAGGAATCAGCCTATTTAAAATCTAAAAATTGTGTTGGATGATGGGCTAAAGATAATTTCCTTTTTTTGTAGTAAGTTTTCCCAAAATTTCATGACTAGGTTACAATAAATGAATGATTTCTAAAAATAATACATTTGTTCAACAAAAGTTCATGTACTATTATGATGAATTCTATGACATATTACACATTATCTCTACCTCCAAGCAATCCTGAATTTGTAAGTGTGAAAGACATAAACTTTTATAAATAGGATGGAATAGATCAAGTAAGAGAGAGAAATAGGAATTCAGATGAAAAACCTTCACCCAAGACTGTTGTGATCATGAAGGTGTAATGGAGTAGAAGGTGGAATTTGAACAGAACCTGGAAGAACAGGAATTTAACGGGGAGTGTGGAATACAAGGTGGCTTACTCCATAGAGACTATGTGGAAGCCAAAGGGAAAAGATGGCAAGATAGGCTATGTCTGTGAAACAAGAGCTACTTTTGTTCGAGGAACAGAGGTGAAGGAAAAGGTGACTTCAAAGTCAGGTTCAAGCCAGATTATAAGATCTTTGGGAGTGGTGATACTGGGAGGGTAGAGGGAGAGTGGGTTGGAAAGAGGGAACCGACTACAAGGAACTATATGTGACCTCCTCCCTGGAGGACGGACAACAGAAAAGTGGGTGAAGGGAGACGTCGGACAGGGCAAGATATGACAAAACAATAATTTATAAATTATCAAGGGCTCATGAGGGAGGGGGTAGCGGGGAAGGAGGGGAAAAATGAGGACCTAATGCCGGGGGTTTAAGTGGAGAGGAAATGTTTTGAGAATGATGAGGGCAATGAATGTACAAATGTGCTTTACACAATTGATGTGTGTATGGATTGTGATGAGTTGTATGAGCACATAATCAATTGATTAAAAAAAAAGATCTTTTGTATACCAGGCTTCAAGTTGGACCTTGTTGTCTAAGATATTGCATCTCAATAGCTAATATGTATGTGATACTTGCAAGTTGACAAAGTCAGAAGTGTTTGTTCTATCCTTCTCCAATTCTCCCTATCATGTTTTCTAGGAGATGCCATTTAATTTAGCCCAGAGGTCGTCGAGTTGATGCTGATCCTGCCATGCATCATGGAAGAACTGTTCACAGGGATGTGCACCTATAAGGAGTTCTTCCAAGGTAACTGGGTGGATTCGAACTACCAATCTTTTGAATAGTAGCTGACTTGGGACTTATGAACTCTCTATCAACTTAATATATTCCAGAATCACAGAGGCAAAAACGTTCTGAAAGAGCTGATACTTATATTTGGGTTTGAAATGTATTATAAAGGTAGGGTTATTAAAAAAAAACAAGACACTGGGTATACAATTTAGCCATGAACTTAAAGTAGGTGCATCTTAGGGATGAGGACAAGGCAAGCATATTCCTTCCTTAACAGCTCAAGGTCATTGATTAGCACTGGAACTTTGAGGGGTTGGGGTATCCGGAAGCAGCTCTGCAGCAAGTAGACTTTGACTTAGAAGACGGTGCCCATGGAGGGCTCTCTCTAGTGGGGTGCTGTGGGATGCAGAGGGGAAGATCCAGTGGACAGATACTCTTGTTTTCATGGACTTCTAAAGAGGATAAAATGATTCTCTGCTTGTGAATTTAACCACTAATAAAATAAAATCAACTTATCTGAAAGGCAGGAAAGGAAATTCTTCTTCAGTTGAAGGCTTTAGGGACTAGCTTCAGAGCCTACATAATTCTTTGCCTAGGGGCTGCCCCTCTGCTACCTCAGCTACATGCCTCAGTTGCTCCGATTGCCTCCTACCCTCTCTTTCCCTGCCACTGCTTTGTTCGGTGGTGTTCAGTAGAAACCTATAGCAAACCATGGCGACAGAAGGGTACTGTTCCTCCGGGGTTTCTAGGCTCTTGTTTAAGAACCCTGGAAGTGCTATGAGTTAGGCATAAGGGCAATCAATGGTCAAAGCCACGAGCTGCTTCGTGGGAGATAAAAGGAAGATGGCTGCTAAAGATGTGCAGTTGTAGAAACGCGATGTAGAGTTGAAATCGATCGGATGGCAGTGGGTTTAATATTTAGAAAAGCAGATTGCCAGCCCTCTCTCCCAGGAAGCCACTGGGTGTGTGCGAACTGTCATCCTTTCCACGGGCAGCTGGATGCTTATTCATTGGGCTACCGGGTTCTTTCCATTCTCCTTGTTGTGCACAAATTTGGCCAAATCCTTTTCAAGAGAATAAAATTAGATACTACATACTTCGAGAATTGATTTAATACCCATGTTCTTTAGAGAGTTTGCAGATATTATTTAGTACATATGGAGCTTATAGCAATTTCTATAAAGACCTTGCAATCAGAGCTTAGATGAATTGCTTCTTCCTGAAACAAATCAGATTTGGCTCATTTGATTTTCAACTCACAACACTATCCCAGAAGTACTCCATAAATTTCAGCATTGTCCATACTATATACATTCATATATTGCTCTGAAGCAAAAGAAACTCGCAAAGCATCTCTGAAGAATACAAATATTTAGGCATCTACGTACTACAGACCTGCAAAGAATTCAATGTAGAGAGTTATACATCTACTGTATAAGTAGGAATAGGAGAGACAGTTGAATTCGTACATAAAGTTTTTATTTAAAGTTTTCCCTTTCCAAGCAAGCTCAATTTACACATTCTAATACTGTACAAAACTTACATTCTGTGATTCATTAACTCACTTTTCACTTTCGTATGGTTGTGTCTTTCTGAAAAACTATAAGCTTTACTTACAGTTTTCATAAACGCTTTGATTTATTTTTTGCTTAAAAAAAGGAGAAAAACCAGTCAAAGGAAAGCAACTATTCTTATATAATCCGTGGATTTCAGAAAAAAAATGGTGACAGCTGATATTATTAAAGATTCCAGACAGACCTTGTTCTTTTCATGAAATCAGCTAGGGTTTCCCCACAGAGCACTGTAACTTTTCTCTCTAGATATTCAGGTGCTTTAAAGGAAAAAGAAATGAAAGTTGATTGCACTGCATATATATATTTATATATGTATATATTTTACAGCAGATCCTTTGGATCTGAACATACAAATAAATACAAAAACAAGGAAGATTGCACTTTACTGTAGAAACGGCATTGGATTCCAGTATCCCACTCCATCTTGACATGCTCCCCAATGAAAGCTTACCCCAAAGTTATAAAATCTGTGGCTTTCCCAAATTTTACTTTGAATGTCACATTTGCTGAGGGATTTGCCAATATCTCTGCATGACTGCAAAAAAATTATATATATATATCTCGATGTTATGCTTTTACTTGCTCTTAACTGCTATTGTTTAAGTTCTTAGGAGCTTGGAAATGAAATATATGTTTCTGTCAGATTTGTCTCACATTCTCCTACCCTTCTGCTCCAAATCCCTCATGGTCCTAAAGACAGTGAAGCAATAGGTCACTTCACTGGATTCAGCGTTGCTGGTGCTAGTAAGGGAAATAGGATGAGGTGGAGGAGTGTTGAGGGCAAGTCTTGCGCTTTTCCTGAGGATTTTTTTAGGTGATGTTATATTACGCTTTTTAGAGACAGGGCGCCAACTCAGATTGTACTTCAAAGAAACTACTCATTCTTTGATCGTTAACTTTTGGAAAGCAATTATTCTCAGTTTTTATAATGGTTCATTAAGTGTGGGTCAGATGTATGTTAACCACCAGAACCTTGTCAAAATTGCATAACTCAATTTATCAGTCAAGTAACCAGTGAGTTTACAACTTAAATACTATAAAAAATGAGGAAGCATAAGCCTCTATGAACTTAATAATAACATTTTGTTTTAATCTTTCAGTTAAGATCGAAGACACAAAAATTATGACTCAGGTTAGCCTAGAACCCATAGGGCGGAAAGTGGTTGCTACAAAAGACAACATTTTTGTCTTCTTTGATCCCATGAGGTGCTGTAAGGGCAGAAAGTCTATAAAACGGAGTTGTATGGAAACAAAAAAGCTCCTCTTGAATCCTATACAATTTCCTAGAACTGTGTTGCTTATAGAGTCTGTGAAGTAGGCAAAGGTTAAGAATACAGAATCAAGTGGCAATTCCGGGAAAGCTGGGTACATCTTTAAGTGGGTCAAATTTTGAATCATTCATGAACACAATATCCCCAAGACGTCAACATAGATCACATGCAGGTAGACTACAATGCACAATACTGATCTCAGGTTTCTCTGGGGGAAGTCTTCAGTATTTTATCTTTCTCCTTTTGAAAGTCAAAATCCACATGAGCAGTGTTTTTTTCTTCTTCTGGTTTTTGTAACGCTGGGACAAGTTAAAACCAGTCTGCAATGGACGAGTCTGTCACCACGGGAAGTTCGGTGTGATCTGAGTTCCAGACACAGTATCTGCTTAAGACCAGGTCCCTCTCATCGGTGGCTATTTTAGAAATCATTCGTCAGAAACCAAGGGTGGGTTTCGGCAGTTGCAGAGTTTTAATTATGATGATGATGTCTTGTGTCATTGCTTCCCAAAATATGATCCAGTTCATGACAGCAGTTCCTGGTGTTATTTGTTGTATGGGACACAGGCAGGCAGAATAACTGTTGCACAGGCTGGGCCTGCGAGCGGTTCTGCCACATCTCCTTCGAGTTCTGTCCAGGTCCCTTTCTCTGGACAATAGCATATCGTGGATGACTTGTAGGCCCCCTGCAAAGGCAAAGCAGGGAGCAATTAGAGAAGGGAGCGCGGAGAAATACAACGGCAGCATTATGCATCACCTTTACACTAGAATGGAGATGCCTTCTCGGCTCTTGCTGGAAAATTCTAAATGAAAGCCAGGGAGATTAGCTGTTTCACTCCAAGGAACAATTTGAAAGTCACAAGATTTAAAAAATCTTTCTGTGCTTTACTAGTAACAAAAGTTAAGTGCTGAGGAAAGCCTAGATGCTCAGTAAATCCTTCAAAATAATTGATCAAAAGTCAAAATTATTCCCCTCGTCCAAGTTAGAGAAAAAAAAATTCACCTTCAAATCTTCAAGTAATTGAAGTAAACTATTTCTGATTGTAACTTTCCTTCTCCATTTTATTTTGAATTGGGGCTGGGAAGGATTTTCTTGAAATAATACTAAGCCTTTCAAGTCAAATAATGTACCGTATGGAATTTGCTTTGAGCTTCATTATTAAAAAAAAATTAAAGGGGAACTAGATGAAGTGAGTACGGCCAATTATTAATTGATGTTAAAGCTAGATGGGGGACTACAGGAGAATCTGTGTAGTCTCAATTTCTTTATATGCTTTAAGATTTTCTGATCAAATGGAAAAAGCAGTGGCAAATTACACATTCTAAATAGAATTCATGGACACAGAACAATTAATTTCTATTTCTTATCCCTCACTGCTCAGAAACTATTTATATTCTCCTATTCAAACAAATCCAACAGAATGCTTACTGAAGTCACTTCAGTTTGACTTATAGTTGGAAAATCAGAATTAAAAAAGAATAAGGATTGGCACCAACCAGCCACCTAGGTGTGCTGTGTTACAGCTGAATTTCCAGCAAGTTAGCTCTGGGCAAAGCAGCGGATTCTATTTCATCAGCTAAAGCAACGTACTGCTTACAAATTAGCATGATCTTCTACACAAAAAAAGTCTCTGAAGTCCTCTTCAAAATGAACTACAATTTAGCTTAACTAGTAAAAAAAAAGGTTGTTTGCTTGTTTGTTTTGCCTGGAACATTATATGCTTTGAAAAACTATCTATACGGGATCAAATTGACCACAGCAACTCAAACGACTAGATGGGAACCTTAGAGAGCAGCGAGTTTCTGTTAATGATACAGGAACAGTTCAGAAAAAGAGGGTGGGAATGTAATCAAGAAATGTGATCCATATCACTAACGGGTAGAGATTACTGAATTGGTGTATGCTTTGCTGTGGACATACTCTCGACAACAAAATGAAACCAAAGGGAGAAAGATGTGGGCAGCAAACCCATTTGGAGGGAAACAGAAGAAGCATGCCCCAAACAGCAGCAGGGTGATGGAAATGACGGGCACGGACCATGCTCCAGCTGTAGCCACCAACGAGGTAAATGCTGTCGTCCAGCACCGCACAGCCAGGCCCGCTCCGGCCCTCCAAAATCGGGGTCTGAAGAATGTTCCACTGGTCACCCTTGGGGTCATAGCATTCCACAAGCATGACGTCAAGGTGGGAGAAACCTAGGGAGTATATAACAAAATATATCAGGGTCCGAATTCAAGGCTAGAGTGTCTTAAAAAAAACAAAAGTTTAGAATCAATGGTACATAATTGTGCACTTGAAGAATCACAACTGTATAAATTCCAAAATGATATTGAAGACCTACCAGAAAGCTCGAGCGCTTTGCATTAATTCAAAGCAAGGATGACTAGCTACATATTATTCATAAAGCTGATGTTGAGCTGGCTCCAATTCATTGTGACCCTACGCACAGCAGGAAGAACCGAAGCAAACACTGCCTTGTGCTGCACCGTTCTCAGCGTCCTTGCTAGGCTGGCTGACGCCCACTCTTTCAGCCCTGTGTCCCTCTGCCTCATTGAGGGTCTGCCTCCTGTTTGCTAACCCTCTTTTATCAAGTCTGATGCCGTTCTCTAGGGACTAGTCCCTCTCAAAAGCACGTCTGAAGTCCACGAGACGAAGTCTTACCAATCTCACTTCTAAGTAGCATCTGGCTGTACTTCCAGAGCAGCTTTGTGCTTTCTTCTGGTCAGCCTCCAACACCTGCTCTTCACCGCCCCAAACACACTGCCGTCAAGTGTGTCCTTCATCACAGTGACCTTCTAGGACAGGGTAGAACTGCCCCTGTGAGTTTCTGAGATTGTCATGATTTATAGGAGGAAAAAAACCCATCTTTCTCCTGAGGAACGTCTGGTGGTTTTGCTACCTTGCAGACAGGAGCCCAATGTGTAACCACTATGCCAACACCACCACGCTTCTGCATTCTTCTGGAAGTTCTTGACATTCAATATTTTTCTCCAACAAAGGCATCACGTGTTCTTCCATCTTGCTTATTCATTGTCCAGCTTTTTCATTCACAGAAGGTGATTAAAAAAATCCAGGGTTCGGGTCAAACACGCACATTAGGTTGTGTGCATGTTAGCTATGGGGCATGCCATTTGTAAAACATGCAGCAGTAAGTAAGTACGTTACTGGGATTTAAAACAGGCTTAGTGCTAAGTCCGTACCATTTTCTCTGCAGCATGATATCAGCCAAATCTATGCTAATTTTGATTTGTGTGTCCTATTTCTTCTTCAAGTAGTCTTTAGCCAAGCTTTCCTGTCCAATTATAATATTAAATGTGAAAAGTTATCTAGAATATTTAGGCAATATGTTGTGCCAAAAAAAAAAGAAGGTAGAAATCATGTTAATGTACAAGGGTGCAAACTTGATTTAAAAAACAACAACAATGTAAGAAGGCACAAGAATGTCCTAGGGGTTGGAATCCAGGGGCACTGGGCCGAGAGCCAGAAGAAAAGAGGAGGAGCAGCAGCAGTGACGAGAATCAGAGTCAGCCGGGTCAACTGACCTTGTCGTTAGTTGTCCTCGAGTTGATTCTAACGCATGGTGACCTCATGTATTCAGAACAGGGTTTTCAAGATCTGTCTTCTGAAGCATTCCCGGATGGTTCTAAACTGCCCATCTGTTGGCTTTAGTCTAGTGCTTAACCTATTTGCACCATGCAGGGGCCACATGCCTAGACTAGGGTATTGGCATGCCTGTTAGAAGAGTCAGGATATATGTATTTGGAAATACGGACAGTGACATACATTCTCTCTTATCTTTACTAAGTATAGGGGTAGTATGCACTAAGAAATGTAAGAAAAATGCATGGTATCTAACCCATTTTAAAAGATGGGTGTATTATCTCAGAATCAATGCAAGGATGGGCCCAGCCTGCCATAGGGAAACAGCCTGTTTCCCATCTAAGTCCCCAAGGCCACGGGAGGCAGAGCCAGAGGGACCTTTCAAGAGACCTACTTTCTTCGTTTTCAAATGTGGAAACTGAAGACCAAGCAGTGTCACAGATCTTGCTCCTTCCCTGTCAAATTCATGTCATGGACATACACATTGCCACTACAAAAGTTGTAGTAATTTGTATGCACAGGGAAGTGAAGGAGCTAAAACACGGCTCTAACGCATGATGCACTATGTTAGCTTTGTTTGAAAAATGTCAAATAGAAGGAATTTAAGAATCATGGATGATTTGATATTTACGTTTAAAAGAAATAATTCTAAAATCAGACAGAATGTTCTATGAACTGTTTCAGAAACAAACCACATATACCCATCTTTGCGTGGCCATGATTAAAGTTCTTTATGATTGCGCTAAAAATTTTTTTTTTTCTGAGAAAAAAAACAACCATTACTATGACTGGTGATAAGGGGTAATTTATTTCTCTGAATTCATTGTTACGACAAATTGTTTGTGCTTTTCAGTTATTAATGCTCCCTTTCCCCCCTTTCCTGTAGGCTTCATTATTCATATTTTTAATGTGTATGGAAACTTAAAAATAATCCCATCTGCAGAAAAGCCAAAATAAATGCTTGCTCAAGGGTGCTGCTAATTTACATAGTGTCGATTTCAGTTGGTCAACATACTTTTTTGACTCGGTTAATGATGATTATCTAACAAGAACCCCCCTTAGCAAGAGGCATGACATGCAAACATGATTGAGATTAAAAAAGAAGAAGACCTTTCAAATGATTCCCCCCGATCGCATACAAGCGATCATTCATTACAGCCAACGTGTGGATTGCGCGCTTTGTGTTCATATCTTGTTTTCGCGCCCAGACATCCATTACAGGGTCATAGCAGTATAGCCACGGGACATATTCTCCATTGTGAACACCCCCTGTGAAGCGAACATATACACACAAGTCAAGTGAGGGCCTTGGCATTGAACTTGAAACAGAAAATGGAAGAATGACTTGCCTGAAATGTATATTTTCCCATTGTGCACTGCCCCCGCATGAGCTGCTAGAGGCTGTGGTAACGAGGACACATAACGCCATTCATTGGTTTCTAGGTTATAGCACTCCACACTGGACAAGTAGCCACTTTCATTCCTTCCACCAATAACATATAGATGTTTGTCCAACCGACATGCATAGAAACTGGCTCTCCTACAATGGAAACAACCCACAGTAAATCACAAAGGAACTGTGAAATTAAGGGCCACTCAGTGAATCAGGAAAAGGAGGTGCACTGTGCTTTCTAAGGGCTGCAAACTTTTAGAATCTAGACCTTGCTGATCTGAGACCCTATGTAGTAATTATAGGTATTGTCCCTTATGGCTAACCCTTTAGAAATTAAAGTTAATAAGAAAGAGGAAACACATCAACTCTATGTTTATTTCTTTTTCTTCTCCCCTTTGCTTTTCAGACACTGTTAGTGTTCATTAATGTTTGGGATATTTGGTACCTTGTAGGGATAGTGCAGCTCAGTAAGACAAAGTGAAAAATGAGGTAGATAATGTAACAATAATAAATTATCTTGACATTCACTTTCTTTATGGTCCTTCAAGGGTCATTGTTCCCAATTTATAAGAGAACTACATCATCAAAATTTTCCTTTAATGATAATTTTTTCCCTTTTTTCGCCCCCAGTCCTACTGCAAATAGAACAACTTTTGTAAATTGCACATAATGTTAAAATTTTGCTCTGGTATGACCAATTATATGGATTCCACTTAAGCAGCTTTCTGTGCTGATTCTTATAAGGCCGTAGGGTACTTTTTGAATCCACTGTCATGGCAGCCTATGGGTTTGGGTCTCCCTCCAAAGGTAATGACGTGAGCTGTGTGCACAGAGGGGAGAAAGGGGACCTCCAATCGAGACGTGCCACCTTCTGGACCTGGAGAAAGGTGTCAGTCGGAGAAAGAGAAAGGAGTGATGTGAAAGTTATTTTAAAGGAACATGTACAACATGATAGGTAATTTTAATATATAGGGGCTTAGGGAGAAGAAAATTCAGAGAGCACTCAATGTTTTTGGAGTTGGATAATGATCGTAGATTCAAAATGTTCATGGAAAAAGGAATTAAAATGAAATTATGGATGTCTCCTCATAACTTTAAGTCCATCCTTGATCTTTTGCATTGCTTTTGAATTGCTACTAAAATAATACATTTCACAAAGTTCACACGTGGCTCAACAGGGAATAAGTATAATATAATTAGATGCAAAGTTCCTTAGAGAATACAATTCAGGTTTGCTTAGTTAACAGTTTCCAAACATTGGCAACAAAGACTCTTGTGTAATGTCAATAGCAAAAAGAGGTATTCCAGATGTTTTTAGAAGATAACCTTTATGGGTGTCCCAATGAACATGTTTGCCTCTGCAGGCTGATTGCCTGGTTACTCTATTTTCTAGGCATGTAGCCTCTGACATGCTACTTAACCCCTCTCAGCCTGAGGGTGCTCATCTGTAACGTGGGGATGATGTAGCTAGCCTCATCACAGGGTTACTTGTGCATCCGTATGTGGGGTGTGTGTCACAGTGTCCAGCATTTTGTTAATACTCATGAAAGAACAAAGATGTTTGTATGCAAACTTTTTCTAATAACATTTAGGTGATGGCTAAATCCTTTAGGCTTTTCTTTTTAGATAATTTATGGTGATAAAGAGTTTTTGTTATAGATGGTGATTTTTTTTCCTGTTAGCCCAAGGATTTTAGCCATATTGATAAACATGTTTTTCCATGATTTAACCATGTTTATCAACATGTTTACTGTGTTCTAGATTTCCTTGAGGTTTTTTAAAGAAATAGCTGTTCCGAAAAAATCTGGAAGGGAAAGAAAATGGGAATAAAATAGAAAGGAGAATAAAGAGCCAGTGAGTCAGATTTCATCGTGTTAGCTTTCAACCTGGCCCTTGATTTCTGAAGGACCCACAAATTTGTAGTGGAAGGTATCTTTTAAAATGAAAATAGATGATAAATATCATGTGCTCACGCAGATGCACACTGTAGAAGGTGGACAGAGTTCCAAAGTTTTCAATCATATTGCCAAAAGGATCTATGACTGAAACATTTGGGGGATTCTTGTCATATAGAAATTTTAAAAAGAAGCTAATTTAAAGAAAAGTACTAGGTTTGAAAATTGTTGCCAAATTAAGTAAATACAAACAGACCGTTGGATTCTTCCGCTTCTCTAACCATATTTCATTTGCTTTCTCACAGAGCACAGTTGTATGGGGGTTGGGAGCCCTCAAGCAGGTTACGTCTCAGAGAAAATCTATGAACCATAGAATTAAACACTCCGGCCCCATGCCATGGTCACAGTCCTTGCTGTGTTTGAGCCCATGTGCCCGTGCACTTCACTGAGAGTCGTCCTGTTTTTCTCGGACTCTCTGCTTTACTGAACACGCTGTCCTTCTTCAGGTATTGGTCCATCCTGATGACGTCTAAAATAAGTGAGACAAAGTCTCCCCATTCTCTCTTCTAAGGAGCATTCTGGCTGTACTTCTTCCAACACAGACTCGTTGGTTCTGGCAGTCCATGTGTACTTACAGTCTTCATTGAAACCATAATTAAAGGATGTCAATTCTTCTTAGGTCCTCCTTATTCACTGTCAGATTTTACATGCACACGAAGTGAGTGAAAATAACATGACTTAGGCAGGCTGCCCCAAGTCCTCAGTGATACATTTGCTTATCAGCGATCTGGGCAGCAGCATGGCCCAGTGTAATACATTTTACTTCTTGATGGCTATTTCCATGAACGTTGTTTATGGATCCAAGTAACATGAAATGCTTGACAACTTCAATTTTTTTGTCCTTTATCATGAAGTTGCATGTGAGGCTGCAAGTCCAGTTGTGAAGCCTTTCCCCCCTTTACATTGTGATGTCATCCGTACTGAAGGCTGCCATGTTTGGTCTTTGTCAATAGGTTCTGGATGTCCTTGCCGTTAGGAAGCAAGCTTCTGTCGTCTTCCCATTGCGTTTTGTTCATCTGTCTTCCCCCAATTCTGAAGCCATGCTCTTCAAAAAGCTCAGCTGCTCAGATGATGTGCTCAGCATACAGCTTGAAGATGAGAATCCCCATTCTTTGCAGTGCCTTATGATCCATACAATGGAATGCCTTTGCATAGTCCATCAAACACAGGCAAACCTCTTTCTGGTGTTTTTTGCTTCCAGGTAAGATCCACTTGACATCAACAGTAATCTCCTGTTCCACATCCTCTTCTGAATCTGGCTTAAATCTCTGCCTGTGTACTGCATTCCCTATCTGTGCACTGCTATTTCAGTTTCTGAATTATCCTAACCAAAATCTTTCTTGTGTGTGATATTAATGATATACTTGGACAATGTCCCATACAGTTGGAGCACCTTTCTTTGGGGTGGGCACAAATATGAATCTTTCAGTTGGCTTGCCAAGTAGCTATTGCTCAAATTTCTTGAAACAGATGTATGTGTGCTTTTTAATTGCATGTCTCGTTTGTTGAAATGTCTCAATTGTTATTCTATAAATTCTGGAGCTTTGCTGTTGCCAATGTCTTTAGCACAGCGTGGACTTCCTCCTTCCAGACCATCACGTTTTGATCATATGCTACCTTGTGAAATGGTTAACACGGGCCAATCCTTTTTGGTATACTGACTGTAGTAGGTCAACGTTCTGTTTGTTACCAGTATCTTTATGTTCTCAGTGCAAATGTGTCATTGAAAACACTGACAGATATCTAATACAGTCTGCTCTAATGTAGCATATAGGTGCTAAACTAATAATCTAGGAGAGAAAGTGTCTGTTAGTCATGCCAAGTATAAAAGCCCTCTGCTTAATTAGGCTTAAGTTGTGACGAACTAGGGAGTGGTCTCTGTTTGGTAGGGGGACTGCTTTTCAGTTTTCTCACTTTTCCTATTGGGCTCCTTCCCCACCGTGACCCTGAGTCAGAACTTGCTCTTCACAGCCCACGCATTCTTAATTTGATGTTCTGTGTGTACTCCTAGCTTTATCCACACAGTGTCACTGTTAGGATCTAAATGGAAAAAAAAATCAGTAGGTTTCATTCCCTGACTTAACGTGCACGTCTATGTAGATATTCCAATAGAGGATGTTTTGAGCCTCTGACTTATTCCCTTGTGTGTTCAAAGGATTCATGACATGCATTATAGGAACACTGGATAGTTAATGGTCTGTCAGCAGCTATGAACATTTGCTTGAGGGTAAAATTTTCCCATGCCAGTTCACTCTTGGGCCTGGTCCCTGGCCTTCTTACCCACCAGCCTCCCACGAAGAGCTCACCTTGTGTAGGCCTTTTATGTACTTTTGGAAAAGTTGAAGATTTTTAAAGATACTCATGGAATTACACTATTTGTATGGAAACCTCAGCTTTCCTCACCCCACTCCAAGTCAGAGGCAATATTCTGATACAAAAACTTAGAAATACCGTGAACGATAACTCCTGGAAACATACTGAAAACTCTGCTTCATGTATAAACCCGACTGAGCCGTTGGGTGGTTGGTTTATGCGCTGAGGTCAAGTTCCTATGGCCATTTCTCAGTTCAAGATTGAGTGACCGCCACCTTCTCTCCGCTCGCGTTTTTTACCTTCCATCACTTGATTAACGCTGTGATGACTACTCAGGCCAACAACGGACTTCTCACACAGAATCCTGCCTCTCATTGTTACTTGTAAGACAGCTATAGACGTAAAGTATTTAAATTAGGACAACTCTTAGATGTATTTGCTTCTAATGTTTCACGCACTCGAGAAAGAGGAAAGAGGCTCTCATGCTGTCGATAGTGTCCAGGCTTACCTCTGCCCCTCTGTGGGGGACCCTCTGGTGAGTAACGTCCGCCTCTAGTGAGGGAGAACTGTAAATGCACCAGCCCATTCGTATGGATCTCACCTTTCATGTTAGCCTTCTCCCTATTTTAGAGTCAGATCTTAAATTGGGGACCAACATGATTCACCATCGTTACTTTTGCTTTTTGGTTTAATTAGGAAAATCCGTAGCCAGCAAGTAAGCAATTCCTGAGCGGACCCCTGGGTTTGGTACCTTGAGAGACCACTTGGCCGTTCTTTTCTGAACTGGGAGGGTTTCCTGTCCCTTTCTTATGGCCCTTGGGGAGCTCCCACTAGGCAAATATTCTCGGAATCGGTTCAGACAGCTCTCTGTAAGGTACCTTGAACTTGCTTCTATGATTCCCAATAGGTTGGGTGAGTTCTTAGTATTTGTTTCAACTGCTCAGTATTTTGGTATCTGCAAAGGGGGTAGGCGTGGAACTCCTGGCGAGTTTGATTCATGCATTACACAGTGCAAACATCAGCTCAATTAAATGTTCTGAGAAACTTCTCGGAAGGGCTTCTTGTACTTTAGGGTTTTTTTTTCCCTCTCTAATTTTCAACCCACCAATCAATCCACCCCGAGAACGGATCTTCCATGGTATTTTGAATGGCGGCCTCGCAATGACAGCAGCGTCTGGACCGCTGCCTGGGTCAACCAACCCAGAGGAGATCCCCAGCGCGAAGATGGAGTGGCCTTTGTGAGATCTGCCTTTCCCCACTCAGCTCTGGAAGGAGCTCTTTATTTGGTCTATCGAGTTGATTGTTCTAAATTTAAAAAAAACCCTTCTTTTACTAGGGACCTGACATGATATACCATAATGACTTCAAAAGAAACGCGAAACACTCCATCCTGTCAACGGTGGCGGCCGGGCGCCGACAGACCATGGCAGGTCTTTTCATCAGGTCAATGAACTGCTTACCAAGTGTCTGAGTAGGACCCTGCCATGATGGGCCGTAGTGCCTCAGAGGAAGTCACTAGAGACTATCAAGTAAACAATACCAATTTTTAAAAAAATTACTAATTAGGTTTTGCAGCAATACTTCCCATCCTTAGGGGCTCTACAGTGAGATAATTGACCGCGACGTGAGTTATGCCTCCCAAGCCGAAGGCGGGAAGGTTAATTATCATGGCGTACAGCCCGCAGCAATGGGGACCATTGTGATGAGATTCTGGCATTCCAAACATATTATTGATATTTCTTTTATTCAAGAATTCTTAAAATAAAACTTTTTTCCGGGTTATTTTAATGAAAGGGCAACGTGATGGAGCTGCAAAGACAGCCTCCTGGAAATGGCCTTTCAAAGAGAGAGACCGGAAGAAGACATCAGGGGCTTCCGCTTCACTGGGAAGCTTGTCAGGATGTTAATTGATTTCAAATCTTTTCTTGGGGTACGTTTGCATTACACATTCACATACACGTGTTTGTGATGTTTGTAGCATATCTTGTCTTTTCTGTTCAGTGTTTAGCTCCTAGTCTCCTCAAAGAGGATTTTAATATATTTATCTGCAATACAAAGTTAAATATTACATTTCTTTATAGCATACATTCACACCAACTATGCTATATAGTAATGCACATTTTGGAATGAATCGTATCATCTGGGATTTTTCTTTTGCCTTTCAACTTGTGATTAAGGATTTAATTTAATACTCGTGTAATCTAGTTGAAGTTTAAAAAATGTGGATGTTAAGGTTAGGGGTCATAATAAAAATATTGAAGAGGAGTTCTGTGTGTTCCTCTTAAATGAATCCCTTGGGAAGAAGATGTAGGTTGCAGGTTCACGTCACTGTACTGAACATTTGTTCACGGGGATAGAAATAGAGAATATTTAACAAGGATCAAAGTTTCAGATTTTAGTATGTACACACGCGATGTTGGCGGATGTTTAGGTAACAGCCAGGAGAGACAAGATATACTCTGGCAGTAGCCATCGTGTCCTTTTGTAGCTAGAAGACTGATTGGATATAAACACTGTGTATGTGAATGAAATGACATTTTCAAAAGAATTCAAAACCCAAAAGACTAAAAGACCAATTCTTGAATGTCTGTTAGAAAGACGTTGTGGCGAGGCAAATTCAACAGTTTGAGTGAGTGAGACTCGAGATATTTGTTACTGAAATATCTACATTTAAATGTATATCCTTGTGAGAATGGGGTTAGTATTTAAATGTCAGTATTTATATTATCATCTAGAAAAGAGGGACAGACACGGGTCTTTTAGCTCTGCTTACAAACCAGGACAATGTTGTCAAAGAGAAGTCCCTCCCTTTGTTCCAATATCAGGACAAATCATTGAGTTATTTGACTAGTTTTCTCCACGGAGCTAATAAGGGAGTTAATCTAAATTGAGCAGACAAAACTGCATATTTTGCCTCATATGTCTTCATTGATTCTGCCTAGCGCCGCAGACCAGGGAAAACCATTCAGCACCCATGCTTCCTTTAAAGGCGCCACAAATTTTTCAGGCACAATAATTAAACACTTACCTTTCTTGCATCGGTGGAAGCTGAATCCAGCTGTTAAATCGGGGATCGTATCGACTGACAAAATTTGTGCTGTGTTTGCCTGTAAAAATATATTTGACACACTTAAAGCTTAGATAATTTTGTTGTTTTGCATACTTCATATTCTTCTCTGCTCTTGGATCTAGTTCACAAACAAAAGGACTAAGTCCGAAAAAGAATACCTAGGCTACCTCAAATATTTCTTATTCTCTCTCTCTTCATCCCATCTTTTGTCTTCAAAATAAGTGGTCAGAAAAATAAATCAGCCATAAAATAAAAGGAAGCGTATTTACCAAACTAGTTTTACCACAGTGTCAGGGAAAAGATTTCTGGGTTATGGTGTTTTGTATGTTTCAAAAACATGAGTGTTTGTCTACAAATGATCAATTCCAGGGGCTATTGTGTGCCATTTTCTAGTTAGAATCTTTTATTAATGATCCAGGCACCCCAACAGCATTATTATCTTCTTATAGAAACAATAGTGGTCGCTACAATCAGAAGCCGAGTTAGGAAATGAGTCTGATTTTATGCATGCCATGTAAATCCTGGGTGTAGTGGGTAGTCGACGAAACATGATTGCCAAGACGTATCACAAGTACATTTGCTGAAATGGGAAATATGAGTCCTTGGAACTGGTTAACCAACTTATCTTCTTTGAGCCTAACAAGTACAATAATGCCTCCTAGGTATTAGAAGGAAGCTTATTTTACATACAGAATGACATCAAAGCAAGAAATAGAAGCAAATGTGTGTACTACATTTTGCACGCAGTACCTGAGATGGCAATTATCTAAAGAACCTCTAAAAAAAAATCTGGTTTTGTTCATACACATATAATTAAACATTGACATATAATCCCTTACCACAGGGTGAGCCTATATAGTTGTGTCTTTATGTGCTCACACAGGTGGGTATAGGCAACACACTTATTAATTTCACAAATATAGATTGAGAACCAACTTTTTGAGGGGGTACCCCAAAAAACTCGGATTGTTTTCAAAGCTATGTATTTAAATTTTTTTACAAAACAACCTTATCACCTTAAAAGTACTCTCCATTACTTAATACATTTGTCAAATCTGCAATTCCATTCTTGGAAACATTTTCCCCCAGCTCTTCTACATTGTCCAATCGCTGTCCTTTCATGTCCCTCTTCATTTGATGAAACAAAAATAAGTCTCACAGAAGTTTCAGCAAGCAAAGTCAGGTGAGTAAGGTGTGTGGAACAAGAGAGGCATACTGTTTTTTTGCAAAAAAAACAACTGGTGCACTGAGATGGCTGCATGAGCAGGTGCCTTGTAATGGTGGAAAAACCTGCTGCCTCTGACACAAATCAGGCTTTTTTTTGGTCCCACGCCATTATGCAATCTTTTCAGAATCTCTAAACAGAAAGCTTAGAGAACAGTCTGACCTGGTGGAACAACTCCAAAGGCACTATCCCCCTCACATCAGCCAAACAAATGCGTATTGTCTTGATCTTTGATTTCACTTGATGAGCTTTTGTGGGGGCAAGATGAGATGGCATCTTCCACTGGCTTGATTGATGTTTGCTTTCGGGGTCATAAGAATAGCACCATGTATCTTCACCAGTAATGACCTTGGGGTGGGGGAGGAATCTGGCTGGCTTCGGAGCTGTTCTTTCAAAGCATGGCATATTTCCACTTGAGGTTCTTTTTCATGGTCAGTCAGAACCCGAGGCACGAATTCTGCAGTGGCCCTTCTCATTCCCAAATCTTCCATTAAAATTCACTGAATCAAGGTCAAAGATGGTCCAGATCACTTCCCTATCTCTGCAATGGTCCACTCAGTCTTTGAGCACAAGTACCTGAATTTTGTCAACAGTTTTGTCTGTTTGGGAAGTTAATTGACATCCAGAATGAGGTTTGTCATCAATTGACATTTCACCTTTTTTGAAAAGAGAAAACCACTCGTACACTTGAGTTTTTCCCAGAGCGCTGTCCTTGTAAGCTGTGTTCAACATCACAACAATTTATGTGGCGTTTTTCCTCAGCAGGAAACAAAATTTCATAGCCACCTGCTGTCCTCTTAAATCAGTCATCAGAATAAATGAGGTTCAAGGGAAACTGCTTTTACGAAAAAATTCACTGTGACCAGAGAGAACCTTCCCAGGCAATGCCACTGGGTGCACTAACTCAGAGGGTGTTGGTGGATGCTAGCCTAGCAGGAAAAATACATACTGGGAAAGCTCTGCCCAGTGGAGCTCTTTTCATGGGTACCCCCTCATATGTTTGATATGTTCTAGGCTCTGGAAAGACAAGAATTTTGTAAATGAATAAACAGATAAATAATGCAATATTAATTAGAGACAAATATTTTAAAGAGAAACAAGGTAGGGGTGGTGGGAGGAGAGAACAATTTAAAGAGGATGGTCACCCTCTCATTGATGGGTCTTCTACAATTCATACAAATACCTGAGAATGAGCAAGTGGGACAGCGGGTATAAAATCCAGGGTCTGGTGATGAGTTAGGCATGTTCAAGAGGAGCAAGAAAACTGGGGCCACCAGGACAGAGATCAGAGAGGTTTGAAGGACAGAACACAAAGTTGTTGAAGACTGATGCAGAGTCTTGCATTTTGTTATTTAAAAAAATAGGAAACTACTGAAGTGTCTTGGTAAATGAGGAATAAGTTCTAATTTATTTCTTTAAAAGACCACTCTTGCTGCTGTGCAGGAGAATGGTCAGGAAATTATTGCAATAGTCAAGGCAAGAAATGAAGGTGGTTTGAATGTAGGCAGAAGTGATAACAGAGTCAGGTTTGATATCTATTGTCCAGGCCTTTCAGAACTCACTGCCAGATTAGAACTACCTCTGTAGGTTTCTGAGACTGTAACTCTCTTCACAGGAGGAAAAACCTCCTCTTTCTCCTGTGGTTTTTGAATGGCTGACTCGGTGGTGTGCAGCCCTACACATAACCCATAGTGCTGTGGGCATAGACAATGAAACTCCCTGATAGACTGAATATTTGTATGATGAAAAAGTGAGTAGTTAAGGATGGCTTCTTGTTTTTAGACCAAGTAACTGAATTGGAGATCACAGGTCTAAGTTGGGAGGACTGGGTTGAGGGCAAGGGAGAGCTATCCGGAGTTCTGTTTTGGATGGAACCCTGCGAGTCCAATAGGTCTTAAATTGCTAGCGTCTGGTAGGTCATAGGTTAAATGATCCCCAAACTGGTACTTTCGGAGTCTTTAGCCCAGAATTTTACTTAAAACAATAGGTTGGATGAGACCATATAGGAGGAGCGTATGGAAGGAGAAGGTCCTGAGTCCAAAGTGAACTCTTGGGAAGGAGAGGGAAGACAGGAAAGAGAGCGCAGAGTTGGGAGAAAAACTGGAAGAGTGTGGTATCCGAGAAGCCAAGTAAAAATATTTCAAAAGGAAGGGGGTGACCAACTAAGATTCCACTACGGAATCTCGTAACATTGAGGTCATTAGTGGCCTTTCATGTGCTTTTGTCAGTTAACTGGTAGGATGAAAACCCGAGAGAAGACGGACTATTCAGGAGAGACTAAGAGGAGAGTTAGATAAGACTGACTATTCAGGGAAGAAAGGGCCTCAAGGAGATGGCTCGACACCGTGGCTGCAGCAATGGGCTCAAGCACAGGAACAATCGAGAGGCTGGCGCAGGACTGGACAGTCCCTCATTCTGTTGTGTATGAGGTCATTATGGGTCAGAACTGACTCCATGGTACCTGACTACCACAACCAGAGGCGTGAAAGCAAAAGTGAGAGAATGGGCAGTGCCTCTTAGGAACTTGCCTATAAAACGAAGTAGAGTACCGTTGAAGAAAGCATCAACAAAGGAAGATAGTATTTGTTTGCTTGCTTGTTTGTATGTTGAGAAATACTGAAAAGTCCATAAGCAGGCTAAAGAGAATGATGAATAGGCCCTCGATGGATTAAAAATAATAATAAAAATAATAATAAGAGAAGACCTAGTACATAGGGAGTAGGACCAATTACATGGACAGTGATGGAGGTGAAGTGAAACCAGGTGGTAGTAGCCAGATGAAGATCTTATCTTGGATTACTTCTATTCCTATTGGATGAAGGAACCAAGATATATGCTAACCTTGAGAATGGCGGTTTGGGTGAAGGAAGCAGTTAGAGAGACAGAAGGTATGAATTAGCCCTCTTGGTGGGTGGAAGAGTTCAACGACTAAGGAAGTATAATATGGTTGGAGTGTGGCATCATCTATCTATATTCAGGAGCTCATGGGCAGGGAGGAGTGGGACAAAGGTTGGAGATAACCAAGAAAGGCGCTTTTCTAAGCAAGTCCAGTGTGAGTAGCGGTGATTGTTGGCATGTACCATGGATTCTCACCACGGTAAAAGCTGTGACAGAAAGTGAGAAGGTATTGGCATCCATGAGCTAGGGAATGAAACAAGGGAGAAAAGTTGTTGGAGTAGAAGGATTAGAGGGGAAAGTTTAGAAATATTGGAAGCTTTAGTCCATATAAACGATCAAATTTGAGATTTGAGAGATGAGGAACCCATGTGGAAATGGCACCACTTCAGGTCTGACTGTAGGGATGGAAGGGCACTGAACTGGGTGAAGGGAGGTGTGGAAGAACAGAGAGTTAATAATGTGTTGTACGACTTGTGTCATCAGCAAGATTGTAGCAGTTGGTTCAGCTCTAGGCCCCCCTGAGACTACTTTTGGACAGACAGTGGTCAAAGTGCAGAAAGGCAGGCGATGCTCCACATAAAGGGACAGCAGGGGCTGCAATCTGGAGAGTTCCTTTCAAGGATCGGTTTTAAGTGTTCCAGGTGACAGTAAAGAGGAGAAAACCAGCTGTCTCCGATGCTGGCGCATATGAAGCATGTGAGGTTTCTGCGAGAGCAGCTCTCTCACAAAGTTCTCACTGGAAAAGAAGGTGAAGGGACACACGCAGGAGGGGCTTTAAAGGTTGTAGGGCTCTTGTTGATAGGAGACCATGAGTTCCAGGCATCTGAGCGGAAGGCTTGGAAGGTTGGGGATATACAGAAAGGATAAGTGTCCCAGTGGTGAGGATGCCACAGTGGGCTTAAATTGCACAAAAG